CGAACTTACTACCGTACCAAAGAAGTTTCATTTCGTACGCCTATTGGTCGAATTTTCGTTACACTTTTCGTGTCGCATAATCGAACTTACTACCGTGTCAGAAGAAGAACCGTCTCGCCAACGTCGTACGCCTATTGGTCAAATTTTCGTTACATTTTTCGTGTCGCACAATCGAACTTACTACCGTACCAAAGAAGTTTCACTTCCGTTACACTTTTTCGTGTCGCGAATCGAAATCACTACCGTGCCTAAAGAAGTTTCACTTCAAAAATTTATCTTTCATTACAAACAGAATAAGCTCAAAAGAACATTAAGATATGACAATTTTTAAAGCTTAAATCTACACGGGGGCTTCACAAGTCTTCCGTAACGTGTACGCGTTTCGGGCTTTTCTACGTCAGCGTCCTTTCGCACTTTGCAAGTTTTACTAGCGGGAACAATCTCTGCTTTCTCTGACGATTTCTTCTTCGATTGATGACAAGCTCTCAGCTCATCTAAAGATTCTTCCCCAGAGTGTACTTCTAATAGAAAAAATCGTTGTACAGGACGTATAAGTTCTCCCGTGGCTGTTTTTAAACAAACAACTCTCGTCTCTTCATCAATTCCAGGAATAAGTTCAATTATTCTGGCCAAGGGCCAGTCCAGACGTTTCTGCAGGTCGTTGCCGATGAGGACGACATCTCCCACCTTGAGAGTGCGTGTAGTAGATCGCGTCGAAGGACACTGTTTCAGCTGACCAAGATACTCGATTCTGAAACGCCTTCTCAGAGCCTCGCGTAGTTCCTGAATGTAGCGAAGTCTTGCAGAATCAGCTTCGGGCACAACAGCACTGGGCAAACAATGCCAATCGGGTCGAATACCTTCTGTGTGGCTGCCAGAATTTTTCTTTTTGTGACTACCTCGGGGATCCTTGGCTGTAAACAATGGCTGGAAATATTTAATATGTCTTCACCTTTATCCCAGACAAGGCCTAAAACTGGAGTTTCTGTCGAGGGATTCATATCGCCAGAATACTCCCCACCCTCGAAGGTCAAATCCTCCTTTACTCATGTATAGAGTCGCCTTCTCCTTGAAACTTTCTACCTCGTCGACCGTTGGGAGACTCATTATTCTGTTGTCAACGTAGAAGGATTTTGCAAGATCACGTACTAACTTGATCTCCTCCTCGGGTAAGTCTCGAGCAATGTTCTCCAGATGAAGATCGATGGTTGCTCCCAGCAAAAATAGGCTGCTTGATACTCCAAAAACGACACGTCAGTGTCGATAGATCACAAATTCCGTGTCTTCAGGCTGTCTCTTCCACAAAAATCTCATAACGTCTCGATCCTGCTTCAAAACGCTAATGCCTTTCGTATATCTGTTATCACTCCAAATTTCTGCAGCCTGAATCGCAGCAGCAATTCGGGTACCAATTTGATGAAATTTGGTCCCGTCTCTGGGCACTGATTCAACGAGGGACTTCCTCTTTCTCTTGACGATGCATCGAAAACTGGGCGAATCCGAGTCGTGCTGTTTTCCTTAACTACGTGTCTGTGTGGCAGGTAATGTCCATAATCCTTTGCTTCATTGTTAGAAAGTTCTTCTATTATACCATCGTTTAACCAATCCTGAAAGACGTCGCCGTAGGCTTGGTAGAGACCATCTTGTTTTAGCTTCTTGATTGTACTTTCTAACTTCCGCTCAGCCATCGCACGATTCATCGGTAGAGTTGGGTGGTTCTCCTTCCAGGGTAAACATACCTCATAACGTCCTTGCTCGTTTATGATTGTAGAGAGTCGAAAGCCTTTTAAGACGTTTTCTTGATGCTGTTCCTTCGTAGAATTTTGGATGGGATCTTGTATTCCCAAAACGTCCAAATTTCACAGGTCTTCAATCTTGGCCTCGTCCACATACGTAGAAAAAGCGATTGCCACACTGTCGTTGCGCTGACAAACGTGCGATGGATTTTTGCCCATTATTGTCCATCCAAACTTGGTATCAACAGCCGTTACTCCATTATCAAGTTGAACTATTCGACCGGTTAGAAGCTTGCCAGCAACATCGGCTCCTATCAAGAAGGAAATCGGTACTTCATCGTGGTTAGCATCTGTAAGATTAATGGATTTTTTACTTAGTTCCATGATCCAAGAACCTCCGGTCACCCTGGGAATATTGACACATATTTTATTCTGCTCAAATGCGTTGAAATTGCACGCGTAGCCACCGTCAAGACTACGTAAACAAACGAGGTAGCGTTTGTGATCCAGAGGTTGAGTACTTACGCCTCCAAACAGCGAATGAATCATCGTGCGATTACATGTTTCCTTGAATTGCATCTTCGCAGCCACGTCAGCTGAGATATACGAATGATGTGACCCAGTGTCAACGACCGCTCGAATTAACTGTTCTTGAATGTCGTTGTATACTTTAACCATAAATGTCTGCATAAAAACTTTCGGGCCCGATGACAGATTGGATAGATTCTCCACGACGGCATTTTCTTGAGTGTCCGTCTTTGCTTTACTTCCGGAGCTCGACGTATTAGAGGCCACACGACGACATAACAACAGAATATGCCTGTGACCACACCACGCACACTTACCTTTATAACGACAACTCTTGAGGTTATGTCCGATTTTGGCACAACAAAAGCAGGCTCTCTTTTCTTTAACAATCTCCTGCCTCTCTGCCAGAGATAGTTTCTTAGCCTTTTCACAATTCACACAGTTATGCCGTTTGTCACAAAAAATGCATTTAGAGTCGATCGTTTCATTTACTGTTAAAAGTCCTGCCGCCGTTGCGGTGTTTCCGACGCTTCCTGTTTTGTTCTCTTATTCCTATCCTTCACCTTTGTCTCTGAGGTGATGCCGAAACCACTAACAACTATTTCAATTCTTTGTTCTGCCTGAACCTCTTCCGCCAAGAACGACATGAGGTTAGTGAGCCTGTCCTTTGCGACGGTAGCGCCAGACAACGCCGGTGATCGCTGCCAAACTCTAAATGTCTTCTCCGGCAGCGAAGATTCCACTAGAGGATACAACATGGCCGCACACATTTCAGTAGTGACACCAAGCGACTCGAGCGCTCTCAACTGCGTTTCGAGCTTATCGAACAGGTTACCGACGGATGGCTTCTTTTCCGACTTAGTGGTGTTGTTCAACACCAACTTGAGCAGCACGCGCACGTATAGCTCAATTAATAAATCGTTTTTACCGAATCTTGATTTTAAACTGTCTATCACTTTGTCATAATTTTCCGCGATCGGTGGATAACTATTCACGAGATCACTAGCTCTAGAATCCTTTACCATAGCCTGAATTAAATATTAGAATTTATCTTTCTGGTAATCTGTTGATCCTCGTGGATATTCTTAAAAAGACTCCAAAATTGCAGCCACTCGCGTAACTCTCCGCTGAATTTCTATAACTCGATCTTTGGTAGCTGAACCGTTTATCTTGGATGGCTTGTTTGCTGTCACGTCTGTTTCTTGGTTGAACGGCCTCACCGCCATTTGCATTGGGGGAATTGGTTGCATCAGATTCGTAACTTGTGTCTTGATGCGATAATACTTGAGACGATATTCATCGCATGCCGTGGATTCCTCTTCGAGGTCTTGATCCGTCGTTTCTTCTCGATCGAGTAGTACTGTTGCAACTTATCGTTGAGATCCTCGATTTCACTGGCTTTATCTTTTAACAACGCAAACTGTGCTTGTATATCTCCGATTGCTGCGTCTCTACTTATATTCGTTGAGAGCCAGTTGTATGTCCTTGTGAATGCCGCACGCGCGGTTTTCCTCAGCTTTTTGCAGTTATCTATGATCACACGAGATTATTTACGCCAGAGTCCTGTCACGGTCGCCAGATGTTCAGAATTGAACTGAATAAGATGCGTAAATAAGGCACGGATATATAAGGATTGATATCTTTATTCGGGATTTCTCAAGAACGCACGTGTCGCTAGCACCTCTCAACGAACTCTGCTTGCACACACTCATACCACACAGGAGACAAGCTTGCCATCTACTCGAAAAAATAAGAATTTTCTCTCATAAGCCACACAAGCGCTCTTTAACAAAGTTCTCTCTCTAGATTGTCGGACTTAAAACGCAATTGTGTAAACTGAAACTAAAAATAATATATTTTATATTAATTTGATATTGTCAAGTAAAATAATATACTATTAGAAGAATATTTATAACAGTTATACAAATTTATATGGATAGATCCATTATAGAGTATATATTCATATATGATTATCTTTAACCTTATAAATATACTTTTACATTATCACACATGATAATATACTAGTATATAAAACCATATATGACTATATAAAGTTATACTTAAAGAGATTTAGCCATATAATATTGTTTAAGATTATATTTCCATTTCTTATATGACCATATATAATTACACGGAGAAAAAGTTACGGTTGCTACAACAGAATAATGCTGTTAATTTTCGCCCATCCATACAAAAAGGTTATGGAAACCATAGTACTCTGGAAGTGACCTATGGTTTCCATATGGTTTCCATATGGTTGCCCTAACCTTAGTGAAGGTAGCTACTATATGGATGTTGCAACCATAATATATGGATGTTACAACCATAATGAACAAATATTCACCCGACAAAAAAAAATTATTTATTTCGAAATTTTATTACTATTTTTTAACTAAATTTGTTTCTTAAGATGCAGTCTATGATTATAAATATTTTCTCGTATTTAAAAACACATATAAAAACACACTTACCTTGGTGGGATTCGAACTCGGGACCTCTGGATCGTGAGCCAACTGCCTTACGTGGTAGACCACTTCTTAATTTAATGTTAGTGTTATATTTAGTCTACATATGTCAACCAGCGCAAATATATAATTTTTCAAAAATCATCTTAAGAAACAAATTCAGTTTAAAAAGAGTAATAAAATTTTGAATTGGATATATGATATAATATTTCTTATAATGTCGGGTGAATGTCAGAAACCAGTGTCGGCTCATTACGAAATTTTGTGTTCGTAAATATATTTATGAAAAAAGTATATTTATAAAGGCCTATCTACAAAAGACGCAGAACGCGAGTCGCAAGACACACGCACAGTCTAGATGTCAATCTAACCTCTGTACACAAAGAGGTTAGATTGACATGTAGACTGTGTGTGTGCTTGCGACTCGCGTTCTGCGTCTTATGTAGATAGGCCTTAAAGTTAAAACATCCTTATAAAATCCACTTTATTCTATGCAGAAATTCTTTTGCGCGCGCAATGGAACTAAACTCTCAATCATGCAGTGATTCAATGCTGTACCGTGCAGCTATATCTTATGGATCTCTCAACCATAATAGTTGTGCTGCAGACCACATAAGAGGGATAGCAATAATCCTTTGGTTGAGGCAACCATATACGAGGGTATTATAACCGAATGTTACGTATCGTAAGAACTACGGTTATGACAACTGTATAAATGGGCATATCTTAACAGCTACATTCAATGTAATATCAATTTAACTTGAATTCACATACATTTCTCTTTTAATCATAGAGAACATTGTTGTAACAACCGTAACAATTTTCTCCGTGTATATATTTACTAATATGAACAAATAAGAGGTATTTTTTTCCAAGTATACAGGGTCTGTCCGGAAAGTAATGCGTCGCATTTTTTTGTGACGTGACTATACTTCGCAGTGCGGTCGGACCGGTTGGGGAGAGTAGGGGGAACCCTTAGCTTACTAACGGTCGGTAAGCAATTGCCTCCGTGCGCTTGGAGGGTTAGGACGGCTGTTTTCGTGAACGTCTACGTAGTAGTCGCGTCGAACTTATGATGGAGAAAACTTTAGGGCAACGCTAGGCGATAAAGTTTTGCGTGAAGCTGAAAAAGACGCCGCTCAAAACTTTTGAAATGCTTAAGGAAGCCTTCGGGGCCGATTGCCTTTCCAGATCGCAGTCCAACAGATAGCACAAGATGTTTAGAGAAGGTCGGGAGGAGGTCGCCGACGAGGCCCGCGCAGGCTTTTTCAACTTCACGCAAAACTTTATCGCATAGCGTTGCCCTAAAGTTTTCTCCATCATAAGTTCGACGCGACTACTACGTAGACGTTCACGAAAACAGCCGTCCTAACCCTCCAAGCGCACGGAGGCAATTGCCTACCAACCGTTGGTAAGCTAAGGGTTCCCCCTACTCTCCCCAACCGGTCCAACCGCACTGCGACGTATAGTCACGTCACAAAAAAATGCGACGCATTACTTTCCGGACAGACCCTGTATAATCATATATGCTTATATATGACTATGTATAATTATATACTCTCATATATAGCCATATAATATTGTTTAAGATTATATTTTCCATTTCTTATATGATCATATATAATCATGTATCTACTAATATAAACTAATATAAACTAATATAAATAAATAAGAGATTTTTTTTTCTGGGTAATGCGGTTTTAGACATGTGTGTATGTGGTGCTGGGTAAGGTTTTTTTTATAATGACTCGCTTTTTATTTTACAGATAAGTTAGAACAAAGAATTTTTATTTCTTTTTGTACTCGCGCGGCGCGACGTTGGCCCAATAGGCCTACTTTGTAATGAGCCGGCACTGGTTTCTGACATTCACCCGACATTAAGAAAAAATTATATTTGTATATCCGATTCGAAATTTTATTACTCTTTTTAAACTAAATTTGTTTCTTAAGAATTTTTGA